ATTTTGGCCAGTTACACTTCAGTAAATCAACCATCAAAACGTATCACATTTTTTTCATCCATTAAAGTCCTAAATTCTGATATTCTTGCCTATATTAGTAAGCCTCCCACTTATTACAGACAAATTTTCCAACAAAATGTCAGTGAAGCAGAAATGACAAGATTACCTCAACAAGGAGACCAATCTGAGAAGTATCCCCATCACCAAACCGTTCTTAAAGAGTATATAAAATACAGAATTTTAGATTTACATATTTACTAATCAAAATGTAGTTAAATCAATAATCCTTACATTCAAAAGCACATACTAACCATCTAATCCAAATTGTAATGTGGAGTAAACCACGCCATCCATGGTATCTTGAAGAGTAATCTGCTCTCTTGAGCTAATGTGATGGTCAACATAGTTACTGCCAACAAAGCTACACGTTAAAAAGTGTACAGTACATCTATGGATAACCTATGTTGCTCGAACTGTTCATTTTACTTAAAGTATCCCTGTCTGACAATTGTGTCCAATAGGTGAATATGGGGATATGACCTCCAAAGAACTTCCACGTACATGGACAAACTAAGAAAAATCTAATCATACCAATTTTGCAAGTCCATATTCGACACTCACCCCCAAGTCCGAGTAACATGGTGGTTAACTAATGAAAATCTCATATGACCAAGGCAACACATAAATCAAGAAAGCCAATTAGGAACTAACCCCTGAAAAACCTCATTATCAGGCAGCTCAAAGTCATCAAGATCAAAAGTATCCGGCAAAGTGATTGAATGGTAGGGTGCATTTGATTCTTCGGGTGGTAAATCAACTGCAGTGGAGTAAAAAGCCTGCTTAATCTTAAGTAAGGCTTCACTGCAATCATCAAACAGGAGTTCACCTTTCTAGAATATATTTGTCCGCTCTTGTGAGTACTACAAAATGAGTGCGGATATGTGTGCAAGTATACACAATCGAACAAGTAATACAGTGATAAGTGAGTATCGTCTCCACAGGGATTGGAGGAAGTCGAATAAGTTCTATAGGAGTCATTAAGGAAAATCTAAATCTACTTCTCCGAATAGTCTTTCTTCTATACCTAGTTTGCCCGACATAGTCTACTAATGTGCCCTATGCTATCTCTAGTAAAGGACACGACAGATTAAAGATACTCTGGCAAAATCGATTGGCGTAAACCCCTGCAGTGATCCTATTGGTCTAGATAACAGGATATGTCTCACAATACCTTTTTACGGCAACATTAACATCTAACCTATTGTTGATGCACAACTCCTTTTAGTCGAATGAAATCCTAACCTTATCTCTAAGGTGTATTAGGCCTAGTTACTACCTAGAACTCCTTGTTTATGTAGTTCCTCCCTAGTTTCTCTCGAACACTAAGGATATGTTACCTAGGTATTCTCTCGAACCCTAAGAATCTCCTAAGAAATGACTACTCTCGTAGCTCCTACAACCTTAAGGCATTAAACTCCATAAACAAAACAGATTAAAGCATAGAAAAATCAACCATTCATTAAAATAAAACTTAAACATCCAAAATGAACTCCCACCAAATAGGATTAGTTCATGATGGGGTTCGAAATAAGCAAGATTATCCGTTCCTTACAACCCAAATAACAAAATATGAAAGCAAAGAACTAAAGGAAGGAGAAAAAACCTTCGACGTGCACTGTCGGCGCTTCCCTCGGCCACCACAAACTGCCCCCAGCAAACTAGCTCCTCTCGGATGCCTAAAATGCCACTCCCGCAGGCTTGTCACGGAGAAATGCCACGGCAAGTAGGATTGCCGGAGAAAGATGAGACATTCTCTCTCTAACTTTTTAAGCTCTAAACCGGGTGGAACCAAAGTCTTCAACAATGTGATTTTATCCTCTATTTATAGGGGAAAACTAATTCTAGGACTTGGTGTTAACTTTCCTAGAAAACCCCAAAACCATAGTTAAGTTGTTTGGGAGTCGAGCAGGACAGACTATGTTACAGCCTGGGTAGCTGGCTGAGTACCCGGCATAATCCCGCTGCAGACGCCCAAGGACAGATAGGATCTGCAGAGTAGGCGGCGTGGTCAGTAGGATCGACTGTAGCAGCGCCGACCCCTCCAGGCGGATCTTCAAGGCAGATTTCTCGAGCAGAGATCACGGAAAGTCGGATACAGCTGGCTTCAAAAATATCTTCTCGCAATGTAAGCACTTTCGAAATGTCAGTTGAACTTGGCAAATTCATTTTGCTCAACAATCTCCTTATGTCACGGTATTTTCTTTCCTCTTTTACTTGCTCTCAATACCTACACATCATCAGACAAATATCTTTCCCATAAAACATCGTTGTAAAAGTAAAATGCCACGGCAAATCAAAATCCACCACATGCAACTAAATGCATCTACATGGTCCGAAATGAGCCTTTAGACATTCAATAACTTAAGTTAAAAGGTCTCAAAATGTGGCATTTTACGGAGTTATCAATATCCTCACCACTCCAAGAAGAAGATGACTGGACAATCGGAGCGCAATTGGCACGTCAGGAAACATAATAGAGTCTGTTCAAAGCCATATTCACGCAAAAAAAAAATGAAGTTATATAAAAAAGGAGGATGCAATGAGCTTTAAAAAAAATCTCAATAAATGTTAAGTGGGATTTTGGAATGGAAGTTTCAGTTTCAAAAACCATAGGCAAGAGACATGCATATAGGAGCAAACTATTGTCATATCCACCCTCCCCCCATAATTTTCAAGAGAAACCATGTTTTTACCAAGTTTCACGTCATCAAGCATGCTGATTTTCAAGCAATTCTGGTATTTATAATTTTCAATTCAGAAATACCAAGTCTATTAATGTATGTTTTACAGTTGAAACTGCTTTTATCTCATCAAGATGTTAGAAATACTAAATAAACTTAAAACTAAGTGTGCATGGCCATCACTAATTCCAGTGGTTGATCTAATACACGTGAAATTACAAGAAAAGAAAAGAGCATATTAACAGGACAAATAAGAAAGGACATTTTAATTACTTCTTCCTAATTACTTCCTCATAATGTTGCCAAAACTAAATTGGTAATATGCAAAATCCTAATTGAATAAAATGAAGCTTCGACGGGATAACTAAAAAGGAAGTACCAATTATGAAGTAAATATGTTTCGTGTATTAAGGTAAAATCATGCATTTCTCTCTCCGAAAAAGATCGCAGTTTAAATGTAGCACAAGAAACAAAAAGAAAGCCTAAATAAATACTGATTCAGCAAAAAAAGAACCTATCCACACAGTATATAGTAAGAAGACTAGGATATTTCTCTATTAAATGGAAAAAGGATAAATTATGTACACGTAAACTTAAAGGTACTAACCAACAGAAACACCGATGTCCGTGTCCGCCACCTGATTCTTTCGGAGCTTCCTCTCCAGATGAGCAGCTATCCATATAGTCCCCAGTGGACCTTTCTTCGCTAAGATAAACTGTGAATAAAACATTTTTCGCCCAATACAAACCCAATTTCTTCATACAACTTCGCCACTACTGAATGTAACAAAACTCTATTATTTTAGCTTAAGATTACAGCTTTGAACTTCCGGTCAGAATTCAACAAGCCCGCATAACTCACGAGTGAAGGGAAACCCTAAATTTCAAATGCTCCAACAGAACCCTTAATCTTCCACTTCTAGCAACGGGGGAAAAAGCAAATTAAGTTCAGAATACCGCTAAAAATAAAAAGAAACAATGAAACCTTAATAAATCCCCGTTCAACAAACAACCTCTGAAACCCTCCCAAAACTCCTTGAGCCTAAAAAGCGTCCCATTTCTGCTTAATTTACAGAGTCGCAGCTCGGTAGAACATCAAAGTGTTGGAATTTCAGTTTGCAGAATCGCCACAATAGTCGGATCGAACGTACACACGACTTGGAAACAGGGAGAGAGGCAAAAGAGACGGGGGGTTGGGGGGGTTTATTGTAATTTAGAAAGATTTTCAAAATTCAACTTTGTTGTTGTTGTGTTACTGCACCAATGTTGGAAACGTGGAGCTTTTTCACTGGTTGAGTATTTCGAATTTCTCGGCTACTTTTCGTACTATAAACAGATTTGATGCCCTTTTTCAGCTTTGCCGGGGAAGGACTAGTGGTTCAATCCAGGTGAAGCGTTTTTGGAGGAATAATTAAATCACAACCAATGTTCTCAAAGCATTTAATCCTGTTTCCGAAGAAAAATAAATAAACAATTAAAATCGCATTTGTGAAACGAAAATCATCCTTAATTCCACATCGCATCAACTATAAATAAATAGTTCCACATTGAATTATGCTAATTACAAATAAATAAGCAATCAATCATTAATATTTTTTAAAAAAAAATTATAAACAAAAATAAACACTTATGAAACAAAAACAATCATTTTTAATAATTGATCCAAAACATTATACCGCGTGCTTTACAGTTGAATTAAGTACATTAGTTATGGTGTACCAAGGCATACGCATGCATGGCGAATTATTCCGGGCATGGGTTTTGTCTAGTTTTGAAGTCACTCGGAGAGATGATGTTCCCAATCATGACTACACTAGCAATGCTCTTCTTTTAGTTATGAGACATTAAATGTCCATTATGATTGATATAATCGTTGGTATAGTATAAAAAGACGTCAAATCAATTATGATTAAATGCTCACTAAAAGAAAATAGGAAAAATGTAAACAACTCGAACTGCTTTGATAAAAGAGAGTATCTAAACCCATCCAAAGGAACTCAAAATGATCCAAATCTGAACTATTCGAAAGAGTTGAAATCTTTTTAAATTGGACTACAAACATCAATTATGATCAAGAATCTTGAAGAAAATTTGTTTGTAAACCCTATTCATTATATAAATAGTAATATCCACAAATTGAAAGGAAATGAGTGCTGGAGAAAAAAGAAAAGAAGCGAGCTGCTATCACACCTCTCTCTTACCCATGCATACATACATACTGTACACGATGTTTAAATGAAATTAAACAAAGACCACTGATGACATTATAAAAATTGGGCACCAGCTTAACTCCATAAAAATTATATTCACACAAAATAAGAAAATCACTCCCGGGGGTTGGGGGGGGGGGAGTTCTGGACATTTTTGGTACGCTGCTTTATCAACCACGTCAAGCAGTGATGGCATGTGATTTTGTGGACTACTTACCAGTGGTATTTTATGGGAAGTTCAGCTATACGGCAGCCTAATTTAAGGCTAAAGAACAGTAGGGAATAGGCGCAACCGAAAATTTTATAAAAAACATAACATTTTCGGTTGCCAACCGAAAATGTTACCAAGGTGTGCAACCGAAAGATATTAAGAAAAAGTTAACATTTTAGATTGTGTCCAACCGAAAATGTTGTACTTTTTATAACATTTTCGGTTGTGCCCTTTCCCTTCCATTCCTTAGCCTTAAATTAGCAGCCGTCCCTTAGACATGCCCGGTACTTTATGGACTCTGCAAATTCCGGAGATGATTGACCACATCGTAGGAAACACTAAGCCTTTGATAATCAGAACGGTGGAGGAGATTTCCTTGAACTTGTACAGAATCCCTAGGCTTAGGATCAATCTTTTTGGCTGAACAACAGTGACGAACACGGATCCGATGATTCTTTCTCTCCATTGAATACCTTCCATGAACTTTAACCACCAATATAGCTTCCTTATCTCTGTCGTCTTCACACGACCAGTTTTGTGGAAAACCATTGACAAACTCTTCCCGAGTGTGGAATGCCTCGAGATGAATTGATACCTCTGCTACATGGTCTGGTTCAATTATGCCACCAGCTGGAGTAACCTGGGTCAAACAAAAATCACAAATATGTCATCAGTTTTTAGCCCCAAGGACCAACAAGCAGTGTAATCCAGATGATGAATCTTTTCAGTCATATTTTTGCAGGAAATTATGAAATTTTAAGCCCCATAAAGCTTGTAAACATGTCTGGCCATATTCTACATTAGAAGATAAGCATGAAAAAGTTTGTAACTTCAAAGGAATGGCCCCTTTAAACAAACAGAAAGCAGGCTGCCAAAGCCTCTAAAACAATTTTAATATGCTTCATAAATCTGGCAGCAGTTCAACATTGAACCAAATATAATCAAGACTGCATCCAAAGCTCAATGACAGTAAGACACAACAGGGTGAGAAGTTAGATGCATATTAAGCTCCAAAGACAACCATTACATATTCAAAATACAAGTTCCCTCAACTGATTCTTTCAAAATTCAATTCTTACCAGTTAAAGGTAAAATAGTTGCTCGTCAACCAAACCCAACCTTAAGCACCTGCTAGAAACAACAATCCATCTAAACAAGAAAGCCTACCTGAAGCCACCGGGGAAGGCCAAAGGAACCTCTTGGATGATGATATGATGTCTGCCCATCACCCTTTATAGTAGATTCACCTTGACAAACTATTTCGAACAAAGCAGCGCTTTCTGTACATTTATTTGTAATGCGCAAAATTGTTGTGTCCTGGTTTTGGAGGAGTATATTGTTAGTGCTGACAACAGTTTCTGGAATTTTACATAATTCTTGAAGCTTGGATCTAACTTCCTCATTTGATCTCACAATATCTTCAAATTCTTGTCTCCTTACTGACTCATCAATATGAGCAATTTCAACAGAAAATATGCAAATGACAGGCTTGTGATCGCTGTCCGTCACATCCATGCAAGATTCATACCTATTCAAGAGGATTTATCAGGATTTATTCAAAATGATTTCAAATATATAAAGAGATGAAAATAAAATTGCAGTCTTCTCTGAAAAAGCAGAAGCTGCATGTCCAAATGGGTATATACTACTCAACCTACCCCATTTTTTCAAAGGGGGCGGGGAAGAAAAAACACTACACTGCCATGACCTTTCCACAATCTTTCATTTTCAAACATAACCCTAAAAACTCAATATGTTAGTGTCGAGAATATCTAAATTAAATTAGATAGAACCAGTTTTTATTCTATTAGTTATTAGATAGGATCATTTTTAATTAGATAGAATCAGTTTTTTATTCTATTAGTTATTAGATAGGATCATTTTTAATTAGATAGAATCATTTTTATTCTGTTACTAATTTTATGCATCTTTTTATGTGAAGTTGTTACATTGTAAACTCTATTTAAGTCAGCCATATTCAACAGAAATAAATATGATTTATTTCGGAACAAGTTTTTTCGTCTTTATGGTATCAGAGCCAAAATGGCCAAACCCTACGATGATACCTCTGGTATCGACTCTATGAGTTCTACTCGCTCACCTTCAATCACCCTAAACACTGAATCATTCCAAAACATATCCATCACTTCTCACAAGTTGAATGGAAATAATTTCTTACAGTGGTCACAATCTGTGAAACTGTTTATTCGTGGCCGTGGAAAATTCGGCTATCTCTCAGGTACCACTACGAAACCTGCCGAAGAAGATGAAGAATCTGAAAGATGGGAGGCAGAAAACTCGATGATTATGTCTTGGCTCATAAATTCCATGGATCCAAGTGTAGGGAGAACTTATCTCTTCCTACCTACTGCTCATGACATTTGGAATGCTGTGAACGAGACTTATTCTGATATCGGGAACGCAGGACAATGGTTTGAACTAAAAACTCGGTTATGGAGGCTAAAACAAGGAGAAAAAACTGTCGCTCAATACTACACTGAACTCAAGACCTTGTGGCAAGAGGTTGACATGTTCAACGACTACGAATGGAGTTGTGCTAAGGACAGGGCTCTATTCCAGAAGATGGTGGAAAAAGAACGCGTCTTCGAATTTTTTGTCGGCCTTAACAAGGAATTGGATGAAGTCAGAGGGCGCATTCTTGGTCGTGAACCACTACCAAGCACAAGAGAAGTCTTCTCCGAAGTCAGACGAGAGGAGAGCCGGCGGACAGTCATGCTTAGAGGCCACTCACCAAATCCCACCGAGTCTTCTGCCTTGTTCTCGGGTCAGCCACCACGTCGCAACGATCGTCGGAACGACAGATATCGGCCAATCTGCGAGCACTGCAACAAGCCGGGACACACTAAAGCCAAGTGTTGGAAGCTACACGGGAAGCCAGCCGAGAATTTTTCAGCCAATCGAAATTCTCGGAATGCAAAGGGATTCCATGCCTCATCTGAAGATGCTTCTGAAGAGCTGAAACCTGCCTCAGAACTGTCAGCCTTCAGCAAAGAACAGCTAGAGCAATTGTATCAACTAATGAGTTCTCATTCCATATCCAACACTCCTAACCCATCATCTTATATTGCCTCTTCATCATTAGCCCAGAAAGGTACATATCCTACAGCTTTCATAGCCGGTTCTAAATCAAACCCTTGGATCATAGATTCAGGGGCAACAGATCACATGACCGGTAATTCCTCCATATTCTCATCTTATTTTCCTTTATCTGGTAATTTGAAGGTAAAAATTGTTGATGGCTCCCTAACCTCTATAGCTGGAAAAGGCTCTATCATTATTTCTCCATCTCTCACATTACTAAATGTCCTACATGTCCCAAAGCTCTCTTGCAATCTCATCTCTGTTAATCGTATTATTCATGATTGCAAATGCATTGCTACAATAACATTTGCTGGATTTGAATTTCAGGACCCTTATTCGGGGAAGATGATTGGCAATGCTAAGGAGGTTGATGGACTCTATCACTTGGTCACGGACAATCCTTCAAATAAACAAGTTCAGAAACCGAGATGCTTTACTACCTTGTCTTGTGAGAATGAAATAATGTTGTGGCATTATAGGTTAGGCCATCCTAGTTTTAATTACTTGAAATATTTGTTTCCAAATCTTTTCAAAAAAAGGACGGTTTTTCTTTTTAGTGTGAAGCTTGTGAATTGGCAAAACATCATAGATCTGTTTATCCATCTTTAAAGTATATGCCATCAAAACCTTTTTCTCTTGTGCATAGTGATATTTGGGGCCTTTCACGAGTAAAAACAGCCTCAGGATCTAGATGGTTCATCACATTCATTGATGATCACACTAGAGTCACGTAGATTTATTTACTAAAAGAAAAATCCAAGGCATCAAGTGTTTTAAAAAATTTTCACTCACTGATCAATACTCAGTTTCAAGCAAATATTCAAGTTCTTAGAACCGATAATGGTCGAGAATATTTTAATGCAATCTTAGGTGATTTTTTGAAACAAAAAGGAATTATTCATCACAGTTCTTGCGTTGATACTCCCCAACAAAATGGAGTTGCTGAAAGAAAAAATAGGCATTTATTAGAGGTGACTAGGGCTTTACTGTTTGCTATGAATGTTCCTAATCGTTTTTGGAATGAAGCACTCTTAACAACGTCTTATTTGATAAATCGAATGCCTACAAGAGTTCTTAATTATATTACTCTTTTGCAAGCTCTAAAGAATATGTTTCCTGAAAATAGATCTTTCACTGATTTAACACCTAAAATTTTTGGTTGCATTGCTTTTGTTCATATACATGGCCAAAATAGAGGAAAACTCGATCCCCGAGCACATAAATGCATATTTCTAGGTTTTTCACCAACACAAAAAGGGTATAAATGCTTTGATCCTAAATCTGGGAAGTATTATGTGAGTATGGATGTCACGTTTTTTGAAAAACAACATTTTTTTGACAAAAACTCTCTTCCGGGGGAGAATGACTCTGAAATGAGTTTTTGGGAACAAACATCCTTGCCAAAATCGGTTGTAAATAGCTCAGTGGAACCAATTCATATTTCCGTAACTAATCCTAGGATTTCACAACCTATAAATTCACAACCTCGTGAGACTCAGGTAGAAACCAACTTGGAACCACCTACTGAACTTCGTGTTTATTCTAGACGGATGACTCGACCAAGTAATGTTCCACCGGCCCCCAAGGTATGCCAACCATCGGACTCGACTATGGTCCAAGGTACGACTTCTCTTTCTCCTATTTCTTCTCCAAATTTAGAGCCTTCTACAGAATTCTTTGAACCCATAGCCTTGCACAAAGGTGTTAGATCATGTACCACAAAACATCCAATATTCAATTTCTTATCTTATAATAAACTCTCTCCAAATTTCAAAGCTTTTTCCACCAGGATTATGGATGATGCACTACCTAAGTAGATACATGAAGCTCTAGAAGTTCCGAGATGGAGAGAGGCAGTTTTTGAGGAGTTAAAGGCCCTGAAGAAGAATGACACGTGGGATCTAACTCCTTTACCTGAGGGGAAACAATTTGTAGGCAGCAAGTGGGTGTTCACCATCAAATACCATGCAGATGGCTCGGTCGAGAGATACAAGGCAAGACTCGTAGCACGAGGCTTCACTCAGACATACGGCCTGACTACGAGGAGACCTTCGCACCTGTGGCCAAACTAAACACCGTACGTGTCCTACTCTCACTAGCCTCCAATCTGGATTGGACTCTCAGACAGTTTGATGTGAAGAATGCATTCCTAAACGGTGAGCTAGAGGAAGAGGTGCTTATGGAAGTTACTCCAAGCTTTGATGAATTGAAGAAGGATGGCAGGGTCTGCAAGCTAAAGAAATCCATTTATGGATTGAAACAATCTCCGAGAGCCTGGTTCGAGAGATTCACGAGAGCTGTGAAACAACATGGTTACACTCAGGCCCAGTCTGATCATACTATGTTCTACAAACACAATAATGGTAAACTTACTATTTTAATTGTGTATGTAGATGACATTGTTATGACAGGAGATGACACAGTAGAGTTGGAGTCGTTGAAGAACTTCTTATCCAACCAGTTTGAAGTCAAGGATCTAGGACAACTCAAATATTTCCTTGGAATGGAGGTGGCTAGATCCTCAAAAGGTATAATTATCTCGCAAAGGAAATATGTCCTCGATATCTTGAAAGAGACCGGATTACTCGGATGTAAACCAGTGGCGACTCCTATTGATCCGAATCAAAAACTCGAAAAAGAAGATGGTGCTGAGCCTGTGGACAAGAATCGGTATCAGAAGCTGGTGGGGAAACTGATTTATTTGGCTCATACGAGACCAGATATTGCATTTGCTGTGAGCTTGGTTAGTCAGTTTATGCATTGTCCCTCAGAAAAACACTCCAAGGCTGTTTACCGGATTCTTCATTACTTGAAAGGGAGTCCTGGTAAAGGAATCATGTTTTCGAAGAATGGAAGTCGAAGAGTGGAGATCTTCACTGATGCTGATTGGGGTGGAAGTTCTACAGACAGAAGATCTACTACCGGTTATTGCTCCTTTGTCTGGGGCAACTTAGTTACTTGGAGGAGCAAGAAGCAACCAGTTGTCTCTAGAAGCAGTGCGGAGGCCGAGTTCAGAGCCATGGCGCAAGGAGTATGTGAGTTGTTATGGCTTAGGAGGATCTTGGAGGAGCTGAAGGTTGAAGGAGATAAACCGATGAAGTTGTATTGCGACAACAAATCGGCAATCAGTATTGCTCAGAATCCTGTACAGCGTGACAGGACCAAACATGTCGAAATAGATCGACATTTCATCAAGGAGAAGCTGGAAAATGGCGATATCTGCATACCGTTTGTTCTATCATCAGAGCAGCTCGCCAATGTTCTCACCAAGGGACTGTTTACTACGATGTTCGAAGGATTTCTGTCCAAGCTGTGAATGATCGATATCTATTCTCCAGCTTGAGGGGGGTGTCGAGAATATCTAAATTAAATTAGATAGAATCAGTTTTTATTCTATTAGTTATTAGATAGGATCATTTTTAATTAGATAGAATCAGTTTTTTATTCTATTAGTTATTAGATAGGATCATTTTTAATTAGATAGAATCATTTTTATTCTGTTGCTAATTTTATGCATCTTTTTATGTAAAGTTGTTACATTGTAAACTCTATTTAAGTCAGCCATATTCAGCAGAAATAAATATGATTTATTTCGGAACAAGTTTTTCCGTCTTTAGTTAGCATACATAGAGAATTCTCCAGGAGGCACTTTAGTGGAAATAATATGAAGAAAATACTGTCCATATTCTGACACTGAGTTGACAGGATAAATGGATTTGGAACAAATTCAGAAAGCAGTGAATAACCAATTCAATCAGTTTAGATCTCAGATAAAAGAAGAAATATTGTTAAATGGTACAATTTACTGCTAGTATTCACGTATATCTGGATCCAGAATAATCACCATGTTAATCTTTTTGAAAAAGTTTGATAAGCAGAGAGACTGTTAAAGAGTTGCCCTTACTACCAGAAAGGATCACAACAGATTATGAGGTGAATCAGAGCATACAATAATTTTAAAGATAGTAAACAATCACTAAACATTGCCAAAATAGAAATCAATAGAACTTACTGTGATACTGAAGATACAACAGGACACTCTAAACTGCATTCAGATCCCAAAGTTCGTCGACTATCACGGTATAAGATTCTGTCGCACCAGGCAGGAATGCACTTCTTTTCACCAGAATCGTAACCTATAAAAAACATTTATAAATGTACTATTAGCCAATCAAATACACTAAAATTCCTAGGACTACGTGTAATCTTTTGTATTGGGTATTATTATTAATAAACTTTGAGGTACTCTTTTCTTCCTTCCAATGTTCGTTAACATACTTCTTAGTATGTGAACGAATACGAAGGGAGTTTTTAATGAGACCTTCAACTTCTATCAAAAAAAAAATTCCTAGGACTAAAAATAATAATCGTCACTACAAAGAAACATTTTTCCTGAGCCCCTTGTGAAAAAATATCTTAATAGACTACTTAACACTATAACAACAGCAATTGCTGAAACAATTTACGAATGACAAAATGCACAGCATCAGTGGGAAGGCAAAAAACAAACACTAAGAGACTGATATTAAGATTGGAAACAAGATGCAGAATTCTTAACTAATATATAAGGTACCTGATAAACCAGTAACATGTTTATCAAATTTGTATGTGGGAGCAAAAGTAATAACCGCTTCCCGCATTCCCTGGAAAACATTTCCAGCTCCCATCTCTGCTCGAAGTTGATCCCTTTCTCTAAGCCAATCAAAGCATCTTTGAGATATAAAATCTCTAGCTTCATCATATGACACATCATCAAGCCGATAATTAAAATCACCGAGAAATACAACCATGTCTGCCTCAGATAATTCAGGCATTCCTTCAACAGACTGGGTACCCATAGCCTGTATAAGCATCAACTCTCACACACTAACCAGAAACGAGGAATAATTCAGAAGGCACATGAAACAAAATCAGCGTGTATACATACATTAGCTCCACGAACCATTTGAACAGCCGACGAAGCACCAGCTGCAATAGAAAGGACCAATGGCAAGCTAGATCTATAAACATGCCAAAATAAATATATTGAGCAGGCAAGCGTGCAACACAATAACGGGTACAACACCATACCAGCACCACCATTGAAGAGATTAGATGGTCGACTAAATGACATTGTACGATATACATGGTCAAAATCAGCATTGCGGCGACCAACAGCTTCCAAATGAGCAGCAAAGTGACAATTAACAAAGCAAAAAATCCTGTCATACACTCTTAGTTTTAAACCAACAGCTCCCTGGGTGCACAAGCAAATGTATATCATTGTTAAACAAAAACCTATCAATTGTTAAATTTATCATTCCTAAGCAAACTTTAGTTCACAAGCCAAAAGCTAAATATTTTTTTATAACTTTCTATAGTCAACCACAATCCTCTGTGCAAACTAAATATCCTCGGAGAGAAGTATAATGTTTTCAACGATTCTAATCAATCATACTAATGAATTTAGGAACAACACAAAATAGCAAAACGAAACAGTGACAAAGGTGTTCTCATAGGCTATTATAATCTACTGTCTAGACTCGAGACATTAAATACTAAGAAAAAAAACATATTTCCATTTCCACAATACTTTAATGGTTTAATATTGAGGCTAGAGAATTTCTTTCACTAAAACTTTAATGTCAAAGTGCATGATATACATTTCTAGTAGGGCAAAATTTACTTGCACACAGTGCATGAGATTAGGCTTGTTTATTAATATCTACAATATAATACATAGAACCATATCACTTAGGCATAAGACTGTATTTAAACATTAAAGACTATATTTAAACATTAATTATACTAACATTCATTAATATATCAGATACATAGGACCAAATTCTTTACATATCATGCCTATTTAAGGAAGAGTGATACCTTGTTACCAATCGCACGCCCAAAGCCACAAGGGACTGCAGCAGCATCGATATCCCCAACATATGGTTTAAGATTATCCTTAACCCTAAAACATAAGATTAACCATTAAATACAAAAAATTAAAGGAAACAAGCACTAATAAAATATAAAAGGAAACTTGAGTGAATGGCTAAGAAAAAATGAAAGAGGTCAATAACAAGACTAGTTCTAGCAGTTTACAACAGAAGGTTTCTTATGGGATTCACATCATTTTATCAGCAAGCTTGAATAACTTTTCTACTTATTTTAAATAATGAAAAATCTTTGGAACTAATTTTCCCCCTATTATGTTTTATTTATAAAAAATCTACTTTGCAAGTACATAAATTAGAATGATCTAAGGGCTCCCCTAGAACCCTAGCCTGAAAAATATTTCAAAACAGTTCCTTTAATATCAATGCATGCATGAGTCTTGGAGTCTTACACATCATTAAAAATAGCCCATTTTAGAATTTTCTCGAAGAAGAGTAAAAAATAACCCTTTTTAGAATCCTCTCAAGGAAAAGTACCAAAAACAAACTTTCTTACATCAAAATAAAAAGTGAAAAAAAAGTGAGTATCCTTGCATTAGAGTTTTATCATATGGGTTTGTACGCAAATCCTTTAGTTTTAGAATAAAACTTATTTCTTACAGAGTTGCCGATTTTTAACACGAAATAAAAATTAAGAATTAGAATAAAGAGTTATAACAATCCTGAAATGCCTTTCAGCCTTGCAAGAAACAAGTCATAAGAACAAATAGTCCTATTATACATTCAACAAGTAATCCAATATCTTGTAATGATGGACACTCACCAAACAGCAATAAGCATGCCTGCCAACTGCCTGGATCCAACACGTTGAAATCTTCTACACTGATGCGATTGTTTTCTCATCACATCCTGTGAATTTCTTTCCATCATATCATGCAATGTATCATCTATCATATCCAACCACCACTGTCCAATAGCACTCCCGTCACACCCTACCTATGGTAAGCAGGAGGGGTTAGAAAATGGTTATAAATAAAGGATTGAAAAATGAAGAATTCCAATGCAGAACTCATTGAATACTGCACAATAATTTGGCCTTCATTTTCACCATGCAGCTTCAATAATAGATTAATAGTTATGGCTAAAATAGGAGGCATCTGAGGCCCACTCTTTCTTTCTGAAACATTAAACTCTACAATCATAATGCTAAGTACATACAACATTAATGCATTATAAGCCACAACGAAGAAAATATCTTACCGATTCTCTTACTGCAGACATTGCAAGAAAACCTGCACCCATCTCAACTTCTTGCAATCCAATAACAATGATTCCAACGTCTGAAACAGAAGAACGTAACCAAGATTCAAGCGAGTTCTTAGATGCTCGCCCCTGCCCAACGTTCCATGTACCAGTTAATATGGTTAAATTTTCTATCCTTGTATATAGAAATCCTTTTGCAGTCAATTCTGAATACAATATGCTATCAAGAGTTCCAGGGGATGTGATACTCCATCCACGTATGCCACCATGCTTAGCCAGGGTGTAAATATTACCAGCACCAATGGCCATCCTCAGTACAGAACTGCTGTGAGCAACCCATTCTCCAACCTTATTACCATCAAGGTCCAGTGCATGAACAATACCACTCGCATAACCAGCCCATATTTTTGATCCAAAACTGCATAAGCATAGAACAGCAGAAGGATGAGGCTGAATATCTTGAATACGGTTTCCATTTCCATCCCACTGGATAAGCAAGCCATTTGCGCAGCCAACCCAAATCATCCCATCAATAGTTATAGTGAGTGCTTCAATCCTCCGGCTATCATCAAGAAAGCCCCCTTTTGCTGCAACTCGGCGAACAGCATCAGCTGCTCCCATGATAACATTCCGTGACTGCTGAAAGAAACCAAAGGAACTTTGATTTTTTTCCTTCTTTGAACTTGCAACAATCTTCATCTTTATCTCATCTTCCATAGCAAAATCTGGAACTAATGACAAATCTGCTTTATTTTCAATTTGACCATCAATGTTAAAAACTTTGAGTAACTCCCTCGTCCTAGCATCCCTGAGATTTTACAATTCCATGAAAACCCAACAAAAGAAATAGAAAAGGAGGCGAAAAATAAAAATGTAAAGCTCATATACAAGAGCAATGTAAGATCAGATGATTTAAATCAAAGTGAAGCCAAAATAATGTAAGTAACTAGAAATTCTAATTGAGCAAGGAGTTAACTAAGATCCACATTCTTGTTTTCGCAACCTTTAATATCTCAAAAATTCATTAAGTATCTCCAGATCTTCCAAGCCTACAAACATGAACAGCATTACAACCAACATTTGGGGTTGATCTATGAATTATAATTTCAAAAACCATTCCATGTTTGAACAGAAAAAGAGAAGTTTTAACAACATTACATGCAATAGTAGAGTTTTTCATGTCACATTTTTCACAAAAATGAGATCTTATCTGTCACAGTTTAGGGCTTTGGGCTTTTGATTTTGTAACAAATCTTAAATGACAAAGGCCTTTTTGTCCTTGGCACACATTCTTCCGATACTCTTAAGTGTTAAGGGGATGCTTATGGCTTGTTGAAAAATTTAAAATCTAACAGATTTGAAGTGTGCAGACGAACAGTGTATTAGCGTGAGGTACAAGATCATTGTAACTGATCTAGACTATCAATAAAGGGGTACAAGGTATATACCTTATTACTAATCAAAGAATGCCAAACATATAACAAAATAGCTTTGTTAATTTTAAGGGTGCAGTTTTCATGGTCTAGGCATACCACAATGCAAAGGAAAGATAACCAGAACTCCAAACTTTAGCTCGAATATTATCAGACAGAAGGCACTTGATATCTGAACTTAATATAGAACTGAAGCCATTTACAGCGACTTGACTCCTAAGATCAATAAATGATCTCCCCATTAACAAAGAAGCCTTATGCCGTTCTTCCACTGTCAAAGAGAGTGCATTTTGAATATCTTCCCATGGCCAAATCCTGATATTACCCCCTTCTGAACCAGACCACAAATCCCCTGAACCAAAGTAAAACAAAAATTACAGCAAATAAGATAAAGTCCAAAGAAATCATCACTCGTACCACGCAATTGTAACATGCAACTTCTCGTAGGGATGCAGAAATAGCTCTCGAATTGACATTTTTCTCTTCTCGATGTCTATTTGTTAGAGACTAATCTTAGTTTAAGAAACAGTTTGTGAACGATGAATGTTCCAAACTAAATTTCTGGATTTCTGCCGGCTATTGTTCCTTCGGTTTTCAGAATTATAACTAGAAAAGGCAAGGTGATGATAATTAACACTTCCAACATCTAAAAATGTGCTAATGTAATCTTAGTCAACGTCCATCAAAATGGCATGTAGCACATTGAGTAGAGGTTATTTTTCAGAGTTTTCATTATTATTATAAGTGATCTAGTAATTTCTTGTAATTTTAATGCAGTGGATCCACATTATTAGGAACAAAAAAAAATAACAGTAGGAAAAAAAAAGCAAAAGGGTTAACAGACCATAACAAGAGAAAACCATGGACAGCACTGCGCCACGATGAGCCTGCCAACACCACCCTTCCTTAAACCCACCACTCTCACAATCTATCTTCCACCCTCTGATCTTCCCATCCCTATGCCCACTCCAAACGACTCCATTCCCCTCATCCCCCACCATAGAAATCACCGCTGCATTTGTATTCCCATTCCCTTTACCGTTTCCGTTGCCGTTCCCATTAGATAATATCGCCGATGATTCCTTAAACGGCGTCGCCTCTTCCTCCTCACCTTCCTCATACAAATCCTTCAATTCCCAAACCCTAACCGCCCCGCTCTCGCTGCCCGCCCAAAGTTGCCGGTCGGTGCAGATGATCGTTTTCAGAAATCGACCGAATTGGGACTCCCTGAGTGGGTGCGGTCGAACCTCGAGGTGGGGAGGCCGATTAGGGTGGAGGGGTTTCCGATCAGGCAGCGTGAAAATGCCTTGGCCGCCGCCTTTAGCGACGAATTCGGGAAGTGACGACTTGTGACGAGAGGGCTGTTGCGGTTGAAGATTGCGGTCAAGGAATTGGATCATGTAGTCGAGGCGTCGGTTGGTGGAGTGGAGGGAAGGGTAGGGTGACTGCGAATCGTCGTCTGAGGAGGAGGCATAACGGTCGAAGATTCTGGGACTGGGATCGGGAACATCGTCGTTGGGGTCCATGTCGGAATTCATGGTAGAACCTAGTAGAGAATTAATGAATAATATGAGGATGAAATTTGACTTTGGGGAGACATTTAGTTAGATAATCAGCGGACTCAGTGAGATGAGACCGCGGTAACTACAATTAACAGTATCTTTTCTGCGGATAAATTACACTCAGGTCCAAAACATAAAATAATTCGATTCATTAAGAATATTCTTCGTATGATATAATACGCAAGCATATACATCTCGAAAGAAATTTCATTGGTCAAGTACATTTAGATACGTTCAAAGCCCAGACAGATGTAACAGAGGCCCAACAAGCATATAACCCTCAAAACCCAAAATAAATCCAACAAAAACAATTGTCTTATGTCATGATCCGGCTTTAGGTATAAAGAAGTAGGTGAGTGCACTAATCTATACGTGAAGTGATTAGAACAAATTAAACGTAAAATATAGCGAATACGGGACTAATATAAAGCATGCCCCATATTATAAAATTAAGTTTCTTCACGTTTCCCCTATGGCTATGATGATGATGGAAGCAAATAATTAAATACTATTATAAGAACTTCAACGCAACGTGCCGGTAGCACTAATTAATTTGAGTTTCTTTCAAGTCGGCTGGGCAAAAACAATAATCGATGTCGATGCTTTAACAAAAGAGTCTCCTCCTCGACAAAAGCATCATTCTAAAGGACTAAGCAATATGATTTATCCAGATAAAAGTCGTATATGTGGAGCTAATTCTCTAAATATAAATAATCTGATCAGCGTCGTCATTTTTCAAAAAATAGACCCCCATTAGCAGAGGGACAATTCTCCATGTCAATTCTCTGTTCAGTGTCCACTTAGACCAGCTTCTTCTCTGAACTAGCGGCAGCCGCACGTTGGCGCTTCCTCCAAGCTGGGATTTTACCAGGGAAAGCCCATCTTAACAACCTCTCCCACGTATAGCAGCCCAGAAACATGAGTAAAGCCCACAGCAAGAGTTTATCCCTCAATCCCACCGGTAAAGGAACCAAGCTCAACCAATCATTCAGGTCCCTAAACAGATCGGAAGTTATGACCACAAAGAAAACAGATGCAGCTCCAAGTGCATACAAGAATGGTTTGTTTTCGGGGATGCTCTGATTGAAAGGGTGACCCATGTAGTTCACTGCAAACGTTGCTACCTGAAGCATCATGCTCACCATGTATGAAACCGTGTTTACTAGATTAGGGTGAAACTCGGACTCTGGCTCAATGCATTCTTCGGGCATGTGTTTCTCAGCTTCCTTCACGGAATAAATCAAGAAAAGCAGGTGCATTGCAAACTGTCCCATGAGAGAGAGGAAGACATAGAAGCAGAAAATATTTGGGTGGGGCCGTGCAGCTGAAAGGGTCGGCAGTGGGCGAGCATGTGAGATGAACAGGAAAAAGGCTGCTGTAAATACACCACTAATAGTTGCCTGGACATCACCCAGTTTGACACCATCCAAGTACATCACACTTAAAACATAAGCTGTAGCAAGGCAGTTAAGGCCAAGTATCTTGAACATCTGAAGGGTAGTCACAAGGGTGCTGCGTCCTTGACGGATTATGTCGGTGGTTGGGGCAACTGATGCATGCTTTGCTGTAAATGGTGATGCCATCGAGGCATCCCCCAGTTTGACAATAGGAGCTGAGCGACCATCACCCTCCTCATTCAGCTCATCCATCATCTTCTTCAGCTTCTGCCGTTGCTTCTCAGCAGCATTAAGATGTCGATTGCTAGCTGCAAGGTTGCCAGATTCTGATCTGGTGGCTAATTTTCCTTTTGAAGAGGCTTCTGAACTGCCTGTTGCTTCTACAGTGGGCTTAGATTTCTTCGACTTCAATGACTTTGTGCTATCATCTTTAGATGTTCCCGATGAAGAGCTATCACTTTTAGTAGGAGGCACTGCATTCAATAAAGCAACACCAACATGGGCCTGAACAAAAGGTAGGGTGTTACAAACAATAGAAAATTCATACGAAAATACAGATACAAACTGGTAATATGACGAGGTAAATCTGTCTTTAGGAGAGAAGAAAAGAAAAACTTGTATTCCATAAATGTAACCAGAAAATGTGAACATTGAATTTCTCCAACTAAAATCCAAAATAATAACAAAAAAGCTTAGTCGAATATATTAAAATTTATTCATAGAAGTTGTATAAACCGAACATGCTTTTACAATAAAAACTAGAAAAATTTTGAAACTTCGATTCAACATCATCAGGACCACATAGAAAGATATAGATCCACCTCGTAGCCAAAACAACTATCACTGACCAAATTAATCCTACAAGGTATCCAGACAAAAGATAGTCATAAAAAAGAACCGTCTGAGACAGCTAATAGAGAAGATCCTATCAACTAGTTCAGGCTTAATTGAGTTGATCCCTATACGAGTAGGGTTTTCTTGGGGGCTAACAGTAGATTAACTGATAGCAATTGATACATAGAGCTAAATATAGATTTAAAAATAAGTTCACAAACCTAAAAGGCCTTAAACATCATAATGGATGCACAATAAACACGTTAAAACGTTAAGTAAGAGAGAATAAGATACCAGCTTAAACTCATCGAGTAAAATATTACCTGCTTAAGAGCTCCAACATCATTGGTCCCATCACCACACATTAAAGTCAACCTTCCCACTGTCTTGAAAGTGGTCATGATAAGTTCTTTCTGCTCCGGAGCAACTCTTGCAAAAACCTAGAATGACATTGCAGTGTCAATAACATAAGACAAAGTCTTGCAAAAAACCAAATAGATTGTATAGCTGCAACCTTAACAAAAGGAATAACTCGTAAAATGGCAGAAGTCTGTTGTAACATCTCAATGCAGTCACCTCCAATACAAAGATCATGAGTCTCGGATAAAGCTTCAACCTCTTTCTCACTGATATCAGGTAAAATCCTTTGATCAGTCAAGTTAACTAGAAGAATGGAAGGTGGGGTTCAACACACCTAATCAGCAGATCCATATGACAAGTTCCAGAAAAGAAAAAGTATGATCAAAACTTGATATGCAGGCCCAAAAAAGAACCTAGATATCCATGAAAGAGCCAAGATTTATGCTGGGCAAATTTATCAGAATTTAAATCCGGAAAAAGCCTACGGGGAAATTATATGTCACAAAATAGTTGAGAGTAACCAGAGAAAGGTAACCTGTAGGGAATCCTCTCTGTCTCATCCGGTGAAACCCACTCGTAAACTTTACTATTCTTCACTGCACCAAGAATCAATGCTAGTTTTGACACAATATGAACTTGGCCGGCAACGTGGCAAGCTGTCAAGGCTTGATCACCAGTTATCATCACCTAGAATAATAAAATTTGTTTTCAGAGAAACACAAAGTCCCAATCTAGGAATTCACCACTTAGAGAAGGAAGGTGATAGCACACTAGCATGTATTTTCCACTATCCCTAAAACTTCACAGTGACGTGTTACACAAATGGAATATAGTATTTTCCATTCTCAAAGGAAAACATGGTTCATACGGAAGAACAAATGGAACATGGAAAACAGGAAGGAATGGAAAAAATAAAGTAATATGAAAATCATTATTTTTGGGACCCAAAACCTAATATACCCAAGTTTTGGTTATTATTAAAGAAAATGAGAAACACGACAAGTTTCATGATCTGGCACAATTTCTACATGCATATAAACATATATGTATTAATCATTGATTTCATTATTAAGGTACTTGAGAAATTAATTCTTTTTTTCCTTTTTACATACATGCACTTCCATACAAATTGGCAACAGAATTGTATATCATGGTAAAGGGATCTAAATGCTGATGAAGGAATTATCAATACAAACCAATAAGGGTCAAAAGATTCCATCTTCTTTCCTACTATTTTTTATCCTAGCAAGCAAGGAAAGAGAATTATTTGCCCTATAGCAAAGTGAATTCATAACATGTTTGCATTCCCATAAATACTTCTTATGAATTCTGAAACCTTAAGCCAAAAATCAGCAAGCAACTTAAATGTTACATACATGCAGGAACAAATGAACTTGTGTTGTAGACATGATTTTAAAAAAAATTCCTACAAAAGAGAAACTTGAATGATTTCAAAAATCCATGCCTGGATTGCATTCCAGTGAATACTTCTTACAAACTCTTAAACTCCAAGCCAAAAATCTAATAAGCAACTTAAATTCCGAGATTTATAATCCTATAGCAAAGTGCATATATGGAGGCACAAATTAACTTGTGTGGGCACAAAAGGTCTCAAAAAATCCTATAGCAAAGTGATTTAAATGATAGCAATAGGATAAATTCCGAGATTTATAATCTGTAAAATCACACTTTTCCTCATCACTTTAATAGTGGAACAACATAACACCCTTTAGAAAGATATATCCAGAAGATGATTCCACTTACCAAATCATGTGAAGAATTCTTTAATTCAGATAGGATAGTGGAAGAGTCTGCCCTAATAGGACAGTTAAAAACCTGAAAATTAAGTTTCAAGAAGTGAAAAGAGGTAACTCGTGCCAAACAGTGATTAAACATCTTAACAGGGTAAATGTGTCCAGCAAACAAACCCAAAAAAAAAACTGTACAGAGATGAAAGAATTCATTGCTTAATGCTTACTGCAAAACCAGCAAATGTGAGGCCAGACTCTACAGTATCTCTCTCCAAGCTTCTAGCTTCACTAACCTGTGCAGGAGACATGACACAAATTGAAAGACATTAAAAACACGTAAACACATGAGATCAGAAGGTTCTACGTATTTACAAGTAAAAGAAAGAAGTTAAAACTAAGTCTTTGTGGTCTGTGATGCATTTTAAGAAACTTTTTATCTTACATAATATATTGATAAGCTTCATTGTTTCCTACTTCTGGTTTTATCCTCAAGAAGAGCGTGACCAAACTCCAAACACTTTTCATGATCAAGGTCTCTTTTTGAGATTATCTAATATAGGCCTCAGGTGTAAAATGAGAGAACTAATCCCAAGTAAAACAAGTTTCAACAAATCTAAAACTTACTAAAAAAGTGTTTCAAGATTTTGGCAACAGAGTGAGTCCATGGCAAAGTAACAAAAGTGGTTAGGATTTCGTATTATAACCATATCCAATAA